GCTATGAAAGCTGAGATGCAATCCTCCCATTAGGCCTGCTGCAATCAAGAAATGAGCAGTAGGAATTTTCAAGCAAATAAGAAGTAAAGACACCCTAGCAAAGGTGCTGTGAAGGGCTCCATGAATAAGGTGCCTTACAGAAGATAAGCCAGGAAGCAGGACGAAGCCACTGTACTGTCACAGTGTTCAGAGCAAAACACAGAGTACCAGTGGAAAGTCCCAGTCTCAAACTCCACAACACTTGCCAAGGGTGGAAAATCGCCAAGAGAGGGGACACTGATGGAGGCAAATGGGGCAGGCATCTCCGAGGAACACGTGCAGAGGCACGGGGAGGGTGAAGCAACATCAGGAAGGGAATAAGTTTGTACTTCTCTTACATGACATCCTGCCTTACTGTGATTTTCACAATAGGACTAGATGCTGGAAATGAGTCCTAAGAAAAGGATCAAAAGTCAGAATGACCTACTGAGTCCGGAGGCAGCAAAAAAGAAAATGTGAAAAAAAGCCAGAGGATGGAGACTGCACAGCCTTGCTAAGCAACCCACTCCACGCTACAATCACGGTATGAAAATCTTCTTATATTCAGCGTGAACCTCTCGTTTCAACTTATTGCCACCTCCTCTTGTCCTTTCACTATGTGTGAACAGGAAGGCTGAATCTTTTTAACGATCTCTTTGCAGGTACTGTAAAGTTTTTAGGCCATAGGATGCATTTTATCTTTTGATAAATCTTAGCTATCAAATGGTATCCGCAAGGCAGAAGACTTTCTTGATGAAGCTTGTCCCCTGACAAGGGCCAATACTGCACCCGGTACTCTTCAACTTGTTCATCAATGACTTGGATGAAGGCACAGAGTGCACCCTCAGCAATTTTGCAGATGACACCAAACTGGGAGGGGGGCCCGACACTCCTGAGGGCTGTGCTGCCATTCAGAGAGACCTGGACAGGATGGAGAGGGAGGAACCTCATGAGGTTCAACAGAGACAAGTGCAGAGTCCTTTACCTGGGGAGGAATAACTCCAGGCACCAGTACAGATTAGGGGTGGACCTGCTGGAAAGTAGCTCGGCGGAGAGGGACTTGGGAGTCCTGGTTGACAAGAGGTTAACCATGAGCCAGCAACGTGACCTCGTGGCCAAGAAAGCCAATGGGAGCCTGGCTGCATGAGGAGGAGCATTGCCAATAGATCAAGGGAGCTGACCCTGCCCCTCTACTCAGCTCTGGTGAGGCTGCACCTGGAATAATGGGGAGCCCAGCACTGGAGTACTGGTGAAGTACTGGGGAGCCCAGAACAAGAGGGACGCGGAGCTTCTAGAGAGGGTCCAGCGTAGAGCAACAAAGATGATTAAGGGACTGGAGCATTTGTCATACGAGAAAAGACTAGGCGAGTTGGGCATGTTTAGTCTGGAAAAAAAGAAGGCTGAGAGGAGATTTGATTGACATGTTCGAGGACCTGAGGGGTGACTGTAGGGAGAATGGGGCCAGGCTCTTCTCTGTGGTGGCCAATGACAGGATGAGGGGTAACAGGTACAAGTTGAAGCACAGGCAGTTCCACCTCCACATGAGGAAGAACTTCTTTCCTGTGAGGGTGACAGAGCCCTGGAACAGGCTGCCCAGAGAGGTTGTGGAGTCTCCTTCTCTGGAGATCTTCCAAACCTGCCTGGATGCCGCCCTGTGCCACGTGCTCTGGGTGTCCCTGCTGGAGCAGGGGTTGGACTAGATGATCTCTAGAGGTCCCTTCCAACCTCAACCATTCTGTGATTCTTACTGGCTTTTAAAATTATTCTCTATTCTTTAGCAGTATGTGCATATTCCTATCTTTTTCAATCAAAGTCAATTTATTCCTTTCTTTTCCTAAGTTAGAGATGGCTCTTTGTTGAATTAAAACAAAAACTGTTCTACTTCCATGATGATATGGCCATAGAACATCTCCAAAGTTAGTAACAAAAGACCTTGTCTCATAAATAACAAAGATGCTCCTGCAAGACACTTCACTGAAGCAACATAAAATGTCTGTTTCTGAAACTTGTATTCTGTATCTGTTTGAACATTGATAGACAGAGTAGGTACAAACAGCTATGTGCTAAATATGCAGCCAGTTCATTCTGATCTTGTGTGAGCTCAGACTTGATGGTAAACAACCACTCTGGGATGACAAAGAATTAGGAATGAATGATCCCTAACATTCTTCTAAGTGCATCTTAAGTCCACTGAAAAATGAAGATATCCACTTCTGAACTGCTACACTGAAAATTATAACAGGTATTTTTCCTTCTAGTTATATTTGGTCTTTTTACATTTAAAAGACGGGCTCCAACAAATAACTCATAAAAACTGAGATAAAAAGCAGTTACATTTGACTAGGACTGATTAAATGCTAAAGGCCAACAATTTTATGTCTTCCAAACTCATGCACATTTTCAATGACTAGAAATAAGATTACTTTTACAATAAACAGAAAATGAAATCAAAATAGAAATTCCTCCAGTGAAGAAAAATGCATTGAAGATGACACTACAAATTATTTCATTCTAACGAAATAACCCTTAGAATCTATCCAAGTTAAGACTACGGTCTAGAATTTTCCAGTAAAACTCTTAATAAGATATGTATAACGTGAGATAAAAGAGGATTCTTTTGAAAAAATATTTAAAGTCTAAAATAGTCAAAATATTTTGAGATGAGAAGTTTTCCCACTTTACCAAATGAGTTTAAAATCATCAACTGAATCTCTTCAATTGTGGAAATAAATTTTGAGATTTCACTTCATCTTAGTTTAGCACTTCTGGTGAATCCTTTCTCACTCTGCTCTACTTCAGAATCATGTTCAGTTCAACTTCTCTTTCAGATAAAGCGTTTCTTTTGTCATAACAGACCCTTCTGCTCTGCAGAGCAGAGCAAAGGGGAAGGATCACCCTCCTTGAGCTACTCGTAGTGCTCTGCCTGGTGCAGCCCAGGATCACTGTGGGCTCACGCTGGCCTTCCTGTCCACCAGGACACGCAGGTCTTTCTGTGCCAAGATGCTCTGCAGCCCACCAGCCCCCTGCACGTATTGGTGCAAGGGGCAACTCCCCTCCGAGGGCCGCATTTGCAGTTCCCTTTGCGGAACTTCAGGACATCCCTCTTTGCATGTTTCTCCAGTCTGTCAAAATCCCTCCCAACAACAGCACAACCACCTGCTGTCTTCGGCACTTCCATTTTCGGATCATCTGCAGGTGGACTCCATCTGCTCCAAACAGTTGTCAGTCCTTCAAGAGGGCTGCACAGTCATAGAAACCAAAAGCCTGTTGTCAACACCAGCTGTGAAGCCAATTGCTGACAACAGGATCCATTCAGTCTTTCCTGGACTCCCATGATCTTGACCATAATTTATGCCGTTATGGCACTTTTTATATTATATGAAAAATATACATGATTTCAAAAATTCAGACATATTTTTGTTCTGATAAAATAATTTCACTTTCATAACTGAAAAAAATATTTTAGCATACTTTTGTAATGTTTTGTAGAACTTACTACATGAGTAATTTTCAAGGTATCACCATCAAATCTGCACAAACTTGCGCTGTCTTCAAGAAAAGCATCACATTCCTCTAATTCTTGTGCATTACAAGGTGGCTTTTCTTTGTCTGGATTTGAATTCTGAAAGAAAAAGACAATGAAATACACTGAAAATCCAAACTATTCAAAATATACATATCAATCCTTTTTTGTAACAGAAAAAAAATTAACAGAACAAGAATGACAGTGTAATCAACAGCACATTCTTCTATATATACAGATAAAAATTACTATGCACTTATCTCAAATGAATACAACCATTTCTTTTGTGAAGGACAGCATGGGTGCTAAGTACAATAAAACCCATTTCAGTTAATGCAAGGAACAGGAGCCAGTAGAATGTGAGCAACAGATTCCCTTTTATGAGTAGAAAGCGCAGATAATCCTCGAAGCCTACAGAGGTCAAGTAAATTTATATAAAAATAAGTTTCTTTATAGATTGCCGTGGGAAATACCAGGAAAAAAAAATGGAGTCATTCACTGTATAGGTAGCTCTAAACATATTCCTCCTTTTATCTTTAAAAGGGATCTGGAGATCTTCAAGGCCTGCTTGGACGCAGTCCTGTGCCACGTGCTCTAGGTGACCCTGCATGTGCAGGGGGGCTTGACTAGATGACCTTTAGGGGTCCTTTCCAACCTTAAAGATTTTATGGTTCTATGATTTTACTGACAATCACTTAAAATTAATAATGTTTGCATAGTTCCCAATGCTCTCAAAACAAGGAAAAAAGTTTTGTTTCAGTCCACAAACTAAAGGAAACACAAGACAAAACTTTAACACACTAAGACAATTTAAGTTCAAAAAAACAATTAAATCGTTAAAATGCCTATATATGACAATGAAAAAACAGCAAAAATTAAGTGATGTGCTCAAGGCTAATGCACAGAACTTGAAACAAGCTGCTTCTCTTTTGGGAGGCTAGATTTGGGGGTTCCTCTCTTCCCTATAAAGCATTCTTGATGGCCTCCGGTTTACTGGGAGGAGAACCACCACTGCCACCACACATGCACAGAGTTCCATATTAACCATCACACAAATAAAATCAAACTTTTCTGAGAGATTTTGCTAAAAATAAAAATATGCAGACTCCATAAGTCAAATTACTGCATGAAATCCAACATACTCATATTTGGGTTAAAATGAGTTAATACATATTAGAAAAGAATTTTGGTTACAGCACTTTAATTTGTTTCTATTATACTTCAAGATAAGCTATTTTATGTATCATAAAAATCCCTACATTTACAAAATATTTTTGTAATTACGTGAAAATTATTTCCAAGACAGTGACATTGATCTAGTTGGAAACACTAAAATTACAGCTAGCTTATGTTTTTTTTTCATTTTTCTCATTTCAAAAAAAAAAAAAAAAAAAAAGCTTCTCAAACGCTGAATCACTTGTTTGTAAATATACGGATTAAAAAATACTCTCATTTAAAAATTTTAGGTTTATTTATACTGTTGATGGGGATATCCCAATACTGACCTATAAACAAACATAAACCTTCCACCATCCACGGTTCTATTATACACACGTAGATAACTATTTTACTACTTTGGAATTTTAACACTTACTTAAACGAACAGTTGCCAAGATGTTGGTTAATTTAGATGCTTATTATTGCACCCAAACTTATGGAAGGGGAGGAGAGGAGAAATCAGTACTCGAGTCGCAAAAGTAACTCAGAAAGGCAATTTGAAGTTATTAATGAAACTGTTCTGCAATACCTGGCCTACGGATTGGGGCTGAGAAGAAATCAATTTAATTAGTAGGCAGAATTTATTTCAACGGCACTTCTTTCACTCTCATTCAAAAGTGTAATAATCCAAAGCTAATAAATCAGGATCCATGGGGAATCACACTTCACAAGGTTTTAGATGAGATACACTTTCTAATTAAACTAAGAGGGGAAGTATCAAACAAGCAGCAGTTAAAATGGAATATTGTTTGTTTTAAACAAAACCCCTCAGGAAAATCAAAATGTCAAAGTTCACGAATCATGATTATGGTTTCTTAAACTTTCTCTAGGAAAAAAACAAACAAAAAACCACAACAGCAACAAAATGTTGGATCAAGGCTAACAGCCACAGTTCATCCTGTGCAAAAATATTTCAGTTTGTAAGTATTAAAACAGACTGAAAAAATAGTAAGCACTCATAGGGACTTGTAACTCTTACTTCCTGTTACTGCTTTTTTTGTGCAATTACTGCTAGAATATCATATATAGGATTTATGTCCACAGTTTATTAAAATTCAAGATTCAGGAGAGAGCCAAGAGAATCATAGGATTGGAAACTGTATTAAATAATGAGAGACTGAGGAATTCAGTCTATGTTTCGTAACAAAAAGAAGATCAAGAGTGAATCCTAGTGGTTGCTTCTGTATTTGTAAGTAGGGAGCAAAAATATAAATAACATCATAGAAAAACAAACACACAAAAAGATTTTTTACTTGGAGACAAGAGAGATAAGAAACAGAATCAACAAATCACTTCATGGAGTAGCCAATTGCAGACTTTTGAAGAAATGCTGCGGACTACTCCCAGTAACATATTTATTTTAGAAGATCATTTATTCTTGTTTTAAAAGAAAACATCCAGTCAACACCATTAGGACTTATAGACCTTCAATAGATGACATTTTCACAAGAGCCTGTTTTGACCTAGGAGGCTGTTTACCAGATTTCAGAACTGAATCTGTACCTTTGTTAGCAATTTGACAGTCAAGTATTTAGGTTGATGGGATTTAGGTAATTCTTTTGTTCGCTTTTTTTATTCTTTCTGGTGCACATTCTTGCCAAAAGATAATCACAAAAAAAAAATGCTTCAAAATTATTTAAATCAACTCTTTGAAAACTGCCACATGTTAAGTGATGGGAATGAGCTTTGATTTCAACATTTAATGAGGCTTTCACTGAGACACATTATCATCTAAGCTCAATTCAGTTGCTCAGGAAGATTTATTACAGTTCAAAGTTTATTCACAACTCTCTAGTGATATTGTTGTCATTAATTTCAGGTAAAAGGAATGTAGTGTTAGTATTCCAAATAGCACACAAACCTAAGAGCTATGTCATGTCAAAGAAGGGGGTGTTGAAATTTGATCGTTGTCTTTTCTTTATGTTCTAATTTTGACTTCTTACCATTACTTCAGAGGTAAGATGCATCAGGCTTTCAGCGATTGCAGAGCGTTGGGCAGGATCCATAATCAATTCTCCTCTTGTGTCACCAACTATTAGTTCAGGCCACCGGGGTCCCTCACTTTTCTTAATTAGAGAAATTTCCAAGCTAAAATGCAAACAAGAAAAGTAAATTAAAATCTTGCATCATCTTTCCAAAGGACAGTCAAAAGCTCTAGAGGAAGATTTGAACACTTCTCTCCAACCTGAATTAATTATGAAAACCACATAACAGAAGCTACTATGATTTTATTTACAAAATAAACTGTTGTAAAGGAAAATATTTCAAATAACATCAGATCAAGTACAAGTGATTTCTAAAAGTCTACATAACAAAAATGTATTTACATAAGAGTACTCATTGTTTTCAACTTAAATCACCTTTCATCTGAAGTAGTTAATAAGATACGTCAATTACTGTAAAAGATCAGCAATTAAGAAATGTATACAAAGACACATTCAGTTTCACTAATAGTTTATTTATAAGAATAGTTTATTTAATAGAAAACTATTAAGTACTTAACGATATGGCTACTTAAATGAATATTTCTGTAAAATATGAATATTTTTGTCCTAGATATTGTAAACATCTCAAAAATACTGCAATACAATTTGGTTAGCTACATTGTGCACCGAAAGCCGTATTTCAAAAGAAGTTTAATTTCTGTAACCTGTAAAAAAAAAAAAAATAGAATTTAAAAAATAAAACACGTATAAAAAAACGTGGGGGGAAAGAGAATTGTAGTCTGATGTACCAATACATTAATCCCTGGTAGTAACTGCATTAGAACTACATATGTGTAGAATATACGTAATGAGAGGTAAATCAAATGCACTTTTAGCAAGGTCTGTAGTGTCAATCTTCTAGCTGACAGAATAGAAAAACCTTCTAATTTACTAAATACTGTGTCAAAGCAAAAACTATTTAGTGAATTCTCAGTTTTATCTATAAACTAGTTAAATTGGCATTAGAAGTGGCATTATTTTTTAAAATATATTTGCAGTATGTTTTAGATTTTTGCTCAACAGAATTTAAGTCATACTGCAGTACTAACATTAAGAATTGCAACTTTTATTTACCTAATTATACATTTAAATGTGTAACTACATGTGTAATTAAATGCACCTATTATATAAGGATCATACCTTTTTCATTAAAAAAGAAACTTGAGATTCATGCTAAATTATCCACTTGGTAATTAGCCTCAAACCACCAAGTTACTTGTCAGAGGGGTAGTTAACACTCAACAACTGAAAAGTTGTATTTTAATGTACTAGTATAAGCTGCATTTACAGTTATTCCGCAGAAGAATACTTCTCTTTCCATAGAAACTACTCCTTAGTTGCTTGATATGATGAAACCATACATGGGAAATTAATCTTTAAGCAACCAATTAACCAAACCTGCCTGTTTCGATAAATAGTGGCCCATTAATTCACACTAGGAGAGATCAAAAGCAGTAAGTGTGCAGATATGGATAATACATTGGCACACTTAATTGCTTTTCTTAGAGAAGACTCAAGACAAATTCAGTTACAAATCACATTTGAGCAATGAAACTTTCAGCAGTTTTACATTTTGTCTAATTTCTTTGTAATTCCCCCACCAGCTTCTATCTTTCCCCCACCATGTTCTGTCTGAATTATTTTTGGTTCAAGACCCAGCTGATAGTTCTGCATCTACAGAAAGCGCAACACGATGTGCTTCCAGTCCCTAAATAAGGTTTCATGCCACAGAACTACACGTAACAGCAGATCACTCCAGGCACGTCTTATGTTGGTTGAAAATAGGTGTGTGGGGAAGAAAATATCAAGGCTTAGTTACATGGCACTGTCATGTTGTCTGCTTCATCAGAAAATGACAGCTCATAAAAATTAACAATGAGTGAAAACTGCATGTACCTGCCTCACAGCAGCATCTGGCTTCTTCATGAGTTACTGTTAGATAGCATTAAAAAGAGAGAGAAAAAAAAATGTGCTTTTCCTTAAATTCACCTAAGACATAAGCAACATTTTTTTCCTCCCTTCTTTTATCCTCTAGAATAGAATTACCCCTAAAAGGAAATTATTTGGCTTTTGTTTTACACCCTTCTGCCAGAATTCTACCCATTCCCCTTGGGCAGTTTACATCCTATTTTCTCATCATGATTGCCAATAATAACCCAACTTCTCCTAGTTTTAGCCACAAAAAGTAGAATAACATTCTGGAAAACTTAAAATGAAACAAGTAGAAAGTCATAGTTTCCGTGAATTTCTAGAAAGCCCCCAGCTTTTCAAGGTTGACTTTTCAATTTGTAGCCCAAATATGGCCTCTATTAAAAAACAAACAAACAAACAAACACCCCAGAAAATTAATACTGTAACAAACAACAAAAAACAACTAGGTTCACTCTTATTAAACTATGAACAATCTGCATTATGGTCTACCTACCACTCCGAACCCCTCTTGTGATTACATATTAATTATAAAAGGCGGGATATTATCTAAAGCTACAATATATATCACCTTTATAGATGGCTATTATATATATGGTTATTATATATAATAAATTACTTTCAATTTTTTACTGGTTATTATATAAATAACTTTCAAAAAAATAAATATTCGGGTGGCTGGATTCATATATTTTACAGGAAAACACTTGAAGACTGCGGAAAATTCTATCTCGCAGTAATATTAAATACCTATCAATATTTGATCGCTGTGGACCAGTGCACAAATCCCAACTTAAAATTTTAAAAACTCTGTACGAGACTTACACATTCCAGGGCTAAATAAACGAGGCACAAACTTGCATGTTAGTGTTGTATAAAAATATATGAACCTTCCAAAGTTTGTGAGGTTTGCTGAGGCACAAACACAAAGCTCCTGAACATGAAACATGTAGTTTCTGTTTTCTGGACTTTCAACACCCATTGCTGCCTCCACAACAAAATAAAACAAAACCACTAGTCTGACTAGGAAAGCTGCAAAAATTCTAAAGTATTCTTACAAAATAATACAGGTATGGGGTGGGGGGGAGGGAAAGAAAGGTGAATAAGATTCAGTGTGGAATAACTACTTGTTCTTCATCGCATGCACACGGTCTTTTATTCTCCAGGACTCAGGCCCTCCCTTGAGCCACTTAAGATGCTGCTTCAGCTCTGACCAAGCAGCAAAAAGGCAAGTGCAGCTGAGAGAGAGGAGAAACTTCCAAACCATCTTTTAAACAGCAGAATCACAAGCAATGTGCTAAGCAGCATTACATGCAAGCAACTAGTTCTCTCAGTTTAGTCCTGTAAGACAGGGCTAAATGGGGCATATACCTGCAGGTGCCACCACTCCTTTTAACTGCACCAAAGAAACAAGTTACTGTAAGAGCTCTGGGCTTCCAGACTCAGACAAATCTCAGAAAGGTACATTTCTAAATATTGAGGGTTTTCACGTTGCCTTCTAGCATGTACAGAAGCAAATGGGGACATAAAATAGTTATGTCACCTTCCACATATGTAACCTTTTTACTGGTGCAAGTGTATGTTTTATAAACAAATTGCCCATTTAAATGCCTAAGACAATGATTGCATTTAAGGTGTCTCAGTTTGGTGCTCTGAAGAACCCTCTAGATCCTCTGAGAATAATACAGAGAACCTACATAGAAATCCACATTAAGATATCTAAAAGTAATTGATAAAACTCTGTAAGAAAATTAAGATTGTAGAATTAACCATTTTTTGAATAAAAAGTAAATCTGACTAAGGATTTAGGGAACTCTGAATTTATTTTTTTATTCTGAATTTATTTAACTCTAAACTTATTTATATTTTTACTATTATTGGGTGCATTAAGAAGGGAACATCTGCCCTATGAGGAGAGGCTGAGGGAGCTGGGCCTGTTCAGCCTGGAGAAGAGAAGGCTGAGAGGGGATCTGATCAGTGTCTATAAGTACCTCAAGGGAGGCAGTGAGGAGGATGGTGCTGGCCTCTTTTCAGTGGTGGCCACTGACAGAACTAGAGGTAATGGCCACAAACTGAAGCACCAAAAGTTCCACAAGAACTTAAGGAAAAAATTCTTTATAGTGAGGGTGACAGAGCACTGGAACAGGCTGCCCAGAGAGGTTGTGGAGTCTCCTTCTCTGGAGATCTTCAAAACCCGCTTGGATGCCACCCTGTGCCACGTGCTCTGGGTGACCCTGCGTGTTCCGGGAGGTTGGACTAGATGGTCTCTAGAGGTCCCTTCCAGCCATAAGCATTCTATGATTCTATGGTATTTTCATTTTTGAAAGCAAAAAGAGTACAAAAAAAAAAACAGCAAAATTTCTCAAAAATGGTAGTAGTTGAGGTCTACAGCATGTTAAATTCAAACAGAATTATTTTCTATCATATACATGGATTAGAAAAACAAGAAATTTATGAATCAAACCAGACTAAAGAACTTCTCTGTTACAATAGTAGAAAACCAAAAGCTTCCATCTATGAAAAAAGGAAGTAAAAGAGAAAACATTTATTTAACACATAACATTTATTATATTTTGATATCTGGGTTTTTTCTGTCATTATTTGGAAAAAAAACAGTCATTATTTGGAAAAAAAAATATTCTTAAATGCTTCCAAATAGTTAATGTTTTCATTTTTATAACCTGGACTGAATTGATCACCAAAGTTTCATCAATATTTCATAAACTGTCTTCTATGAAAAGCATTTAGCAGCTTATCTATTCACTTTTGTACCATGACTGCCTAGAAGTGAACAGACAAGATTCTGCTTACAGAGGAGTAGGTGGTGAGAATGTGTGCGCAGAGGCTGATCTCCAGTAGCTCATACCACCAAGTATTATTTAGAAAGGCAATGGAAAACTTTAAAATTCCACATTAACTCTGGCTGCCAATAAATGTAGGCAACACACATACACATGAAATCAGTAATGAGAAGATTAACATTAAAAACTGCAATATTAGGACATATTAATAAGAACTGTTTCAGAGCTCAGCAACAGAGGTCTAGCACTCAATGAGTCCATTCCCAGAGCAGCCTACAGCCAAGCAATCCAGTCATCTTCTACTTTCATCCTCAATTCTTATTGGTACTCAGAGTGAAAACCACATACAACACCTTTTGTTCTCTCCAATTATCCACGTGCAGCTTTCATGGTCCACAGATGAATAGAGTTTTCCTTCCATCAAAGCAGGCTGGTCTTTCAGTGTAACACATATATTATCAGGGGAAAAATGTACTTTTATGTCATCCTTAACGGTATCTTCAGGAATGGGAACCGTTATTGTCAAGTCATCTTCAGTCTGTTGCCAGTAATAGAGAGGGTCTACAGTTGGAAACATACAGAAATCAGAAAAAGTAGATTACACATCCTATCCTGGGAGATATGGGCAAGTCGGTGAAGAATGGAAATTAACTCTGAACAATTAGCATAAAGGTTATCCAGACTGTGCAATGGAGAAACAACTTTTTTGCAAATAAATTAATTGTCCATACAAGGGACACTAATTTTCACACACAAGCATGCAGAGTTACACAATATACATTAAATAGCACTTTAAAACTGTGACATTATGAAATTGGTAACAAACATACTGAAGTGTTAATGATTCTTGAGAGCTCTTGGAGAATTACAAAGATTTGGCATGTTCCAAACTGCCAATCTGAAAATTTGGAAATACTTTACAGTATCTGTTGCTTACAACATATGCTACATGTGCATTCCACAGGCACAGATGGACTCCACACCTTCCTGTACAGTCTTTCCTGCCAGGATTATGGCTATATCCTGTTTACCCTCTCACATTTCATAACGGAGGACAGTAAGAACAAAATGACCACAATGGCATTTTACTTCCTCTATTAAATACTCAGAGGAGGACTGCACACTTAAACAACCCAGAGGAGAAGAAAAAATGGAAAAAAAAACACTCGGTAATAACCAGATGTTTTAAGTCCTACTTTTAGCTTGTGCATGGTATGCTAAAATTAGAATTAAACTAGACTAACCAGAAAAAGAAAATTGGCAGTAGGATAGACCATGCTATTTGATTCCTATGAAGATTTTACTGTTAACTTTTCCTGCTGCAATACCACATAAAAAGACTCCTGTATATACATTTAATCACACTTATAAAAGATACCTAAAAAACTTGACAACCAAATGTCATAAGATGACTTCAAATTCAAGTTTTAGGAAGATGAAGAACTTAAGCTAGATGTCAAAGTTTAGGTAGCAGGGCTATCCTGCTAAACTGATGAGCTACTTATTTTGTTGAAACAGAGTAGTCTGTCATAATCTACTAGATAAAGCTTTACCTTTCTTTTCATTTGTTACTTTTTCATCAGCATTTTCTTCTATTTTTTCTTCCTCATCTTGCATAAATTTGAACGGTTTGTAGGAGAGAATCATTAAACCATCTCCACTCGGTTCAATCGCTGCATAATGAGGGAGTGATTTTCCTTGTAAAACTCTCCTTTTGAAGATCTCGTATCTACGATCACCTATAAAATGAAGAGACCAAAAACATCTCTCAAAAACAGTATTTTTCTAGTGGAGAAAAGTGATTATACAAACTCATTACGCTTAAAAACACTTAAAAAAATGCTATCCGTTAAATCACAGTAATGTGGTTCAAAACAATTTTTTTTTTGCTTTGTTTGTTTGTTTTTTTGCTACAGTGTCTTAAACACACAAATCCTAAAATTCATCTAAGGTAACTCTATTCTTTTTCTTACAATGCCTTTTTCATGCACAGCTAGTCTAGCAAGTCATCAAGTTGTTTACAGTCTCTACAAAAAATGCTTCCAAACACTTTCTAAATGTCAGTAAAAACCTGAGAAGCCCTGAAATGACTTGGCCTGACACCACAATGGAAAATGCTCACCACCTTCAGCTGCTCTGAACCACTGCCCTCAAGGTCCCTGCCATTCCCCACTATGCTCCTAAATACACAGACATTACTTATGTTTTAAGTCATTAGGGTGACTGATTCTTCTCTTTTCATACAGGCTAACTGTACTCAAAGTTCTCAGCAATCAACCAACTTGTGAATGATAACAGATTATACAAAAAAATTTTTTTTTTAGTAAATAGCTAAAAATTTGTTAAAATTCTCACAGATAAGAGAAATTAACTCCAGGAATTATTTATGGTCTTTTACCCATATGTTTAATCTATTCAGTTAAGGAAATTGCTGTCTTTGTAATTACAGTCTTACTTGGGAAAAAATGTATTAGCAGAGACATTAGATGAAACCAGATTATGGTGGTGGGAAAAAAAAATCATTCTATTTGCAAAGTATAATATGCAAGGTTGTGTCAGTATTCTCTCTAAGCTCTGGTCCTAAAATCTAAATGTCAGTATAGCCAATTTACTTTTTCTTATAATATAACCCTTATATAACCAGATATAACCATTAATATTCAGAAGTTTCTCCAGCTTAAGGCCATCCATATGTGGATTTCTCACTCTTTTACAAGTTCTTCCATTACCCCAGGTTTCTAAAGCAGATTTTGAGAAGATACTCCTCAATCTCCCATCTAGATGGAATATATAGGAGGTCAACGAACATTTTGATAACAACGTCCAACATGCAACCAGCTACTTTAATAAGCAGTTACAGATCTTGTTTCTATCAGTAAACAAAGCAGACTTTCTAGAATATAATGAGACTACATGACAAGTCTTCCCTAAAATGGTAAACTAATTTGACAAGTCCTTAAATCTTGCTCCAAAACAGGCTCTTACACTCCTTACAATAGCTCCAATATTTAAAGTAAATGTGAGCGGTCATACTGACCAGCTATAAGTTGCCCTTTGACAGACCTTACTGGGATAATATATTAATTACCATTTGTAACGGTAAATTAAAATTGACGTAAAATAATGGAGTGCCTTCATAATATTTTTACTGTAGGGAACTCAAGAACCTTTGTAAACTATAGTTGTTTTATTTCTTGCCTATGTAAAAAACTGAGTTATGATTTTGGGGGTCAGAAACTGAGAAACGAACAACTCTTAAGACCAAAAAGGAAAACATGATAGAAGTTTATTCAAATTACCCACCAATAAAACACTTACCCTCTTTGCTTGACTCTGTAATTGTAACCCATTCCAAGACAATATGATATCCACTTCCTTTTGTGTCCATTTCATCTTTTTCTACTCTAAGCAACAGTACAGCTACTGAATGTTTATCTGATTTTACAAATGAAACACTGTGTACTATAGTAAATGGATTGCCTAGTTCTTCATTATACACAATCTGAAAGACAGAAAAAAAATGGTCAAAATGAGAAGATTTTGCTATTTTTCTATTCCTCAGAAAGCAACAAGAGACTTGACTGAACATCAAAGCACTATAAGTTTGCTTTTTAAAAAACGCCCCTGCCAATAGGCATCAATGAACATCATCCACTTCCAATTCCTCCTTCTTTGGCTGCAAAAAATTGTTCTGAAATGGTTTTATTACTCTTTTTATTACAAAATCATCAGAAGGGCCCACTACGCAAAGAATAAGGATGCACAAAAATATCAGCATTATGACAATTTAGCTCCTCAGCACGTAGAGGTGCAACTGATGAGCAGACCAGGATCTGTAAAGACAGCACATTAACTGAGGAAAGGGGTTTGGCATTCAAGATAAAAACATAAGAAGGGCCTGTGTGCAATTCCTAGGTATCCCACCAGCTTGAAAGTCTCTGTAGATCTTGACACATTAACTGATTTAGTCAATACCTTTAAAAGTGATTCGTTTTTTCTTTTTTTAAAAAGTCTGATGAAAAAGAATACAAACAAAACTCAATTATTAACTGAAAGAGTATGATATTTGTGTTTAGCAGGTGCTATATGAGGTTTTGATTTTTTTTAAATGTATAGTGACTTGACTGACAATTCGGATGTCATTTATTTGACTTCTTACGGAAGAGTATTCTCACGCAGAACAGAACAAAAACCAGCTGGTATTTACAACTAAGCACCAAATCCAACTAAAGAACAGGACTGATTCCTTAAAAACTGAACTTTCAAAAGAGGCAATGGAAGAGCTACTCCATCTTGCTGAGGTCGTCCCTATCAGGACAGAAATTTGAGATCCTGCCACTACTAAAAGCTTAGGATCACTCACGAAACTTGGTAAAAATTGCACACCAAATATGGGGACATACCCCAGATTCCTTCTTCACAACACAGAGGCATAAGCACAGAATAAAAGATTCATAATACCATAGGCAAACAAGCATAACCTAAGTACATTTACTGCATCCAAGCAAGACAACCAATATCATTGTCGGCATTAATAAAACTGCTTTGGTATGGAAGCAGAAAGGACAAAAATTGCTTTGTGCAGACTCTTTATAGGAATTATGGAAAATATTTCATCATGACAGTCATAAAAAAACTCACTTTATTTACAACCAGCAGTTTGAAGATATTAAGCATTAGCAACTTTCCAAAACTAAGTGCATAGTACGAACGCTTACCACAGTTAAGTCCTGGAAACACTATTGTTTACATTATACTTGTTTAGTATAGGTCTACATAACCCATAGGATTATTAGCTTATACTGGAAAGCTGAATTGATAAACAATAAGCGGTGGCGAGGGGGAAAATCCGAAAGAGACCCAGAAGAACAGGCAGAGGTTATTAAAAAAAAAAAAAAAAAAAGTTCTTCTGCAGAACACTTAGCCACCTATTTAGAAATATGCTCACTTTTGTTAAGACAGATTCTTTTTCAATCAAAAGGCTTTTCCTTTTCAAACATGTGAATTTTGCATATTTTGCACATAAAGAGATTATTACTCCACCGGATGATTCATGTTTGGATACAATCCCAAATCCATGGTGCTGCGTTATGAATTAAAGCTTAACTTTTCACAGTATTATATATCTGCATCTTCCAAAAAAATGCAAGAGTAAAAATTGAGATGTATAGTTAAAAATGTTATTGTGAGACTTACCTCCCACTTTTCAGATGCACTGTTCCCACGTTTGCCTGATTTAATTAAATACAGTCGTCCTGTTCCATCAGAAAGTGCAACCCAAGTGGAAGAGGAGAAATATATTGAAGCACAAAGGCGATTATCACAAGCTGCCAAGTCTGTTGGTAGTCTGAAAACTTCTCTTGGTTTTTGTAGAGCAGTATCCTGCAAGTAAGGAGTCACCTATTAAGCTCTTACTAAGTATCACCAATATTAATTTTCTGCAAGTATTAGAAATTGAAGAGTAACAGATCTCAGCAGCAGTTCACGGGTTTCTTTGGCCAGCTGAGGATATCTGCACTATGGGATGACACTGTACATGCAAGCTCTATGGGCACTCCCAGAGCAACACCGAACCACCCAATTTCCCCAACTTCAAGCAATTCCAAACAAACAAGGGTAATACTAAAAAAGACTTCTTGTGTTATTAAGATGTAGTCAGTTCTGCATCCAAAAGATAAAAGCAGTTCTTTTGTTTTTGCCACAGGATACTAAATCATGTATGAGACCCTGCTAAACTCTACATCCCCCAAAACAGTTTCCTCTCCTGGTCTCTTTATGTTACTATTGTTCTCGGAAAACTTTTAACAGAAATAATAGCATGCATATGCTAAAACCAAAAGGCAACCTCAGACAGAAATACATTAGCACTACATATTTCTTCACAATAGAGCTGAGGGTCCCATTAAAAACTAATGTTTTACTTCTCTAAGCACATTTCCAGGAGGTTGATCTAGACTTATCTTAGCATCTTCGCAAATTAAAAAGCTGCTTAGCAAAATGGAAAATTTTCATTACTAAAATTCACTCCCCCCAAAAAAACAGATTTAAATAGACATAAATCTTTAAAAATGGAAAAAGGGAATTTGAAAGAAAAGCCATTAGAAGGGCAGACATTCTGAAGACATTTTCAATGATGTAAAAAACAGAGGAACAAACAGTAGCATATTTTTGTACTGAAAATCTGTGAAGGAAAACAAGTATTTACCTACAGAACATATAAAATATACCCTTCTATTACAGCAAGGATGAACAAGAGACTAAGAAATAGCAGTGCAAAAAGTATCATATGACATCTGTGTCTCACCACAGGCCCTGAAAGTCAGCTACCAACTATCACAATATGTTCAAGACACCTGATGATCCTCATCTTCGCTCAAACATTATGAGAGCATACAATGGAAGAAAAAAAAAATAGAGATAGATACATAGATACCTACTTCTAGTCCAAATAGAAACACACTTATTTTCATCTACAAAAACTCACTGGAAAATATAAAGCATCATCCTTAAAATAGTTCTTGACGTGTGCAGTGTGTGTTTATAAAAGCAAAATAATGTACATGCACATGCAAGCATTTGTTGAGAACACTGTTTGAAGGGACTTCATACTTTCCAGATGTTATTAATATCAGATGTGCATTCAGAATGTGCTCAAAGGTAAGCAAGATAGACTGAATTTGGGTAAGTACCATTTTAATAACCAACAACAAAAAAAGACCAGATGATAACCAGCCTGCTTGCCTTTTGGGACTACTCAAATTTGCAGTACAGATGACTGTGTACTATGCAAGGCACAGGGACAATTACAAAACCTGCAAAGGAAGAGATGCAAAATAGACTTTTAATTTTCCAAAGCATTCAGGGCTACTCTGCACTTTCAGTTATAGCATTATGTTCCTTGAACTAATCCGCTAAAGTAACACTTTCAGAAAAGGAAAATGGAAGAATTAAAACAAAACAAACAAAAACAAAATAGCAACAATAACAAATATCACATCACACTCAGATGCAAAGTATTTTGGTTTCCTAATCTTTTATTTTAGTTTTAGGTTATTCTGAAATGCACCAGTATTACACTGAAATGCAGGCACTTCAATAAGAATGCTCGGCTGTAACTAGCAGGTTGCATGACTACTTTGGGGGGGAAAAAAAAAGTCTGTTCTAAAGTCAATCTATCCTAACATGAAAAGAAGAAATACCAGCTACGCAACAGCAATTCACAGGGCTTTGCAACATTATAGAAGAAAGCCAACAGAAAGGAGGTCAAGTGAATCTTAAGGGTAAGCTTCAAGTAGCTTTGGATGCAGGTTTTTTTTATTGCGAACTATTGGCCATTTAATCTTGCAAAGCCCACATCCGCTTCATCAATACCAAACAGAAGTGCCAGGACCCAGGATGTCTTCTGACGAAAATGAAAAATAATCTTCACAACAAAAAGCCTCTCTCTAAAAGGGAGAGAATAAAATGCTTCTATTCACAAACCTTTACTGTTCACAAATTTAACTTTAAGCATATTAGAATAGTCTTTTACTCTCTTGAAACCCAAGAATAGAATGGATGGACTGACTTGAACTTAGAACAAAAATTTTCTTAAAAACGTTTCTATGTCATATGTGATTTTTTTACTTAATGACCATGAAATTACTGTTTCTCTATATACCATTTAAGTAACAGGGGATAACAGTAATTCCCTATCTCAGAAGACTGAGGGGATGTTGAGATATTGGGATGATATATTGCGGCTAGTAAGAAAAGGCTACACTAGCTATAGTAAGTAACAGAAACCAGGTTTATTCACAGGAATTAGATTTTAATGATTGCAAAATAGTTAAAAACAAACAAACACAAGCAACAAAACTACACCAATCTGTTCCTTGTCATACCACTTATTCAACTCCTTTTAATTCACTCTAAGATTTGCTCCACTGCTCTTCATCCCCGGTCTGCCTGTTCCCTCCATCCCTGGCCTTTAACGCCAGCCCTGCCCTTCTCAGCGCTCTTTGAACCTTTATTTTGCCCCCTCCCAACCTCTGTGGTTCTGCCTGTGCCCTTTAGACTTACTGCGGGTGCCTTCACTATTGTAACAATCCTCATTTCAGCAGTGAGTTGCTTTACTTGCTTAAAACACTAACCCCAAATTCTAGCCTGTTAGCAGCCGGCATTCAAAATGTGTCCAGAAATTTTGGACCAAATGGTTGGGGATAAGAGTAGTTGTGTAGGAACAAGAGAGGAAATACAGAATACAAACTTAATTTCCCTCTGCTCTTCCTGCCAACCCTCTCCAGGCCTATCAAAAGTAAGACTATCTGACCTTAAATAGCTAAATTTAAGCTTAGATTATTTGGTATGTCTACACGATTTAAAATTTTTTAATCCCATTTAGAAATTATATTGTTCTGCAGTGATAGCTTGTCATATTGTACAAATGAGTCATGTTTGATAACAAAATAAGAATTAATTTTCCAGGGAAAGGATAGGCTGAGCAAAAAAGATAATGTAACAAAACAGGGTAAGAAAATAAGAGCCAGGAATTATATTGTTATTAGAATTATTTCCACAAAATAACCATAGCAAATAATTTTAATAAAATATCTAGACAGTAGATGTATCTAACTGAACAAAAACAATCCATATCCAACGTTCTGAATAATACAGAGTAAAGTATTTGCAAGTCTGTCTGAAACACAAGTCTTGAAGGTGGGTTTTTTCCTCCATTTGAACTGCTTCCTTTTACTGACTCATTCTGAACAGAACTCCCAATTTGTTTCTTCTATAGCTAATATCTATTTTGAAATAAAATTAACTAGAAATTATGGAAACAGAGTTCCAGAGCATCTTACTTGAATTTAGAACAATGAGAATGGAGATGTCATTAAGGATTTTAATTAAGCGCAACGACAGTCACAGTTGCCACAATTTCCCAGTTCCATTGCTTGAATGTAAAAAGACACACTCTTGGTACAAGTTGTTAGTGGTACAGAAATAAACTCCAAAAATAACTGCTGGAGGAGAGAACATCTTAATTTTTTTCTTCAGCTAAAGTCATGAGTTAGACTCATGAGTTAGTATTATTCTTTGCTATTTATTTACTTGTCTATCTCTACACTACCTGCCAGCTCTTTAAAATAAAGTACCAACACTAGCTTATTGAATGAAAGAGATTTGATAGCTGTAGCAGAAGAATGAAGTTTTCACATATGGCATTTTTAGCTGAATCAGGGTAACAATTTTCCCAACTTAGAATAAGCACCATTTGAATCCATCAACTTAGAAAAACTGCTCATGATAATCACTTCTTGTCTTTCTTTCTTTATGTTTGATTTTGAGCAAGTGAAAGGTCTTATCTATAGTCTTTGCATTCACAGACTGCATCTTTTCTAGCACCTAAGTCATAGCATAAATTTGCTATTTAGAGATAGCCATAACAAACATCAGAATTCACAAAAACAACTTTTATAATATGCATTTGACTAATACACAGCCAAGCACATTTGTAATGAGAGATCTTGTTGATGTTTCTGAATACACATTCCTCCTTATACATACGTAAATGCTCCCTTTACAGAACAGCACTGATTTGTATATTAGGACACAAGATGGAGACAATTTATTTGTCTGATAGAATAAAAAACTGTGATGGGATGTTAACAAAGTGCCACCTTCTTAAAAATGTCCAAGAGGCCAGCTGTAACATGCAACAGCTACATGCAAGAATAATATATGCATACATGAAAATGCAAAATTATGCCTTTTGTAAAAGCCTTCCTATTTTATGCTGCAAGGACAAAACTTCCAGGCTTCAGTGCAGACTTTAGTTCTTCCTAATAAAGGAAAAATCACAAGACCACAGAATAGCCGGAGTTCAAAGACACCTACGGAGAACATCTATTCCACCCTACCGTTCAATGGGGGTCACCTACAGCCAGTTGCCCAGGACCACATCCAGCTGTGCTTTGAGTAGCTCTAACGCTAGAAACAGATGGCCACTCCACGGTCTCTCTGGGCAACCTGATCAAAGTGCTCAGTCACCACCACAGGGCTCTCTCGTGTCCAGATCGATTTTCCTGGGTTACAGTTTGTGTCCCCTGCCTCTCATGCTTGCTAGACACCACGGAGAAGACTTTGGCTCTGTTCTCTCAACACTCTCCCGTCAGGTTCACACACATTGATATGTTCCTCCTCCAGGCCTTCTCCTCCCCAGGGTCCACAGTCCCACTTTTCTCAGCCCTCTCCTCATATGAGAGATGATCCAACCCCTTAATCCTGCTCAGGGCCCTTTGCCAAATTCCCTCCAGGCTCACTTGTATTGGGGAGAGCAGCATGGGATGCAGCATGAGAGGTGGTCTCAGCAGAGCCAGTCTTCTCAGGGAAGACTCAAATGCAGCCATTCAGGGCCCCTGCCCTTTTTGAGCCCTCTGTCACCAGTCCCATGCCCCATCCAGCAGCAGGCTCACATTCCCCTAGCTTTCCTCTTGCTGCTTACATACTTGTAGGAGCCTTTCTTGCTGCCCTTCACATACCCTTGTTACTTTTACATACGACTTTTAACTCCAGGTGGACTTTAGTCTTCCTAACCCCAAACCTGCATGATCTGTCAGCATGTCTATATTCTTCCTGGGCCATGGTCCCTCCTTCCACCTCTGATACACTTCCTTTTTATGTTTGACTTCACTCAGGAGCTTCTTGCTCATCCATGCAGGCCTCTTGCTGCCTTTGCTTATCTCCTGCTTAACGGGATGGACTCTTAGAATAACGTAATTGTGGCAAGCTACAGTCCAGAGGGCTTTTCCTGACAAGTTCCTTCCCTTAAAATGTTCCTGATGAGAATTCAAGCATTGCTGAAGATATGGGAAGAAGCCCTAGGAAGACTTTTCTAGCTCAGCAAGTGAATGTCAGTGGCCTAAACTGTACGTATTATGAAAAGACAAGACACTGTCCTGTGGCTCCAGTTCTTAGCTTTTCATACTCTGGAAACCTAGATCTCCAGATACCCTAGAACTACCATTTCAGGATTTCTCTTAGATTAGTCCTGACCTGCTCATATTCTGTCCAGAGTCTTACCCAGAGCAAGCCACATACTCTCAAAAGTCACACATTTCTCAGTGTTTTCCTTTATTCCACAGGATTGCAGTCAAATTCCTTGGTAGCATGACAATATATACTTATATTTCTAATCCCAAAAATTCAACTGACTTGTCATACAAAATTGTTTTATGTAAAACAGCAGGCCTAAATCATTTGCTGACAGAGTAAACCTTATTATGAGAAAGGAGTATCTACATTTTATTACCTTTCTCACCACAAAACATCAATCAAATAACTGTTACGAATGAAGAATCACTATTTAGAGTAGCTAACAACTGGATATAATTTTTTTTTTGTATTTTCCTTACCTTCTAGAAAGATTAACATTTTAAAAAGCTACGCTTAATGACTCAAAAGAATTGACTCAATCAAAGTCACCATGAAAACAGAGAAATCCTAGCGTTTAGTGAGGAAGTATAATTAATATCCAACAGGACACAAACTGCAAGTGTCAGAGATACAATCTTACTCCAAATTATACAATCAAAGTTACAAAGACATGATAGCTGCAAAAGCACAAGTAACACAGCCCACTATCGTTTAATGACCAAGCCTTGCAACTGGATGCATCAGAGGAATAGTATCCAGACAGTTGTATCCTTTTTCATACAGAATAGGTTTGTAGTGGAAATTAGTGCATCGACTAATGAAAACACCCCAAAAGAAATGGAAAATATGATTATTTAAAAACATCGTATTTGGTCTAGTTTACTTCCACTCTATTTTAACTGGTCCAAGGCCAGTAGCATCTTTTTGGCTCCAGTGAGTGATGTGCAAATTCAGTTACTAGTCTATACAAGCATTTGGCAATAATTGTAATGTCAACAGCTGATTTCTCCCCTTATATCTACAGTGACTAGATTTTCGAATTAACACACAGACATCAAATAATATAGAGGAGAAATACGTGGCAACCAGAAGCGTCTATTATTTCCTTCAGCTTGCCACCATATGTCCACCATCCTCAGAATGGAGTAAGACTTGATACCACACTATTAATGAAAAAAATGCCCAACACCCTCCACTTAAAATCTCTTCATCCTTCATGATGAACCACATCTTACTGGTTTTCCTATCTTTCTAGTAACACCTTTCTCAGTTTCTGCATCTGGATCCTTTCTGTCATTTTTTCTACCTTATCTATCTTTTTAATTTCAGTAATTTTTTAAAAGGCATCTTACTCTTACCAGAGTCACCGACACATTCATAACCCTTCCATATTGGTCAATGTAGTAGACATTATCCTGGTACCAGGAATCCAGGTGAAGATAATTAAACATGCCAAAGGCACGCATGTGGTCAAGGGTATATTGATCATCACGAAGTGCGACTTCTGCAACAGCTATGGGGTGAAAAAAGAAAGAGAGAGATGTTATTTTAACAGCTAGGAAATATATTTAAAATTAATTCTTCCATCCTTAGGCCACGAGCCTGATTTGTTTGAAGAAAATATTATATATGAAGTTTAAAATGTCAGTATAAACTTGGGAATAGCTCACATACATTCAAGGCACTGCAATCACTCAGTATGATCATGTAGAAACCATTACCACTTACAACAGCCTACACTATCACTTTCCAACAGGCACTGAAGTTTCTCTAATTTGTCGACGACCGGCACAAGGCAAAAAAAAACAAACAAACCCAAAATAACCACACCACCACCACATACAAGTAGCTATCATGCAAAATTCACCTAATCTATTTGTGAAGAGAAAAAAATCCCAGTAGGTACATGGCATTGTAGGGGGAAAAAAAAAATCTGCTCTCTGATAACTTGTATAAACAGTCTAAAGAAATATCCCCCCTAACTATAAGCATTTCAGTCTTCAATTCTGAACTAAGCAATCATCATTAAGCCTGGCCAAAAAAAAAACCAAACAAACAAAAAAAAAACAGTGCAAAGCAGAATTAGTACTGGGCAAATTCTTCTCGGTGGTGGACAGTGACAGAACAAGCGGTAACAGGTAAAAGCTGAAACACAAGAAGTTTCATCTCCACATGAGGAAGAACTTCTTTCCTGTGAGGGTGACAGAGCCCTGGAACAGGCTGCCCAGAGAGGCTGTGGAGTCTCCTTCTCTGGAGATCTTCTAAACCTGCCTGGATGCCACCCTGTGCCACGTGCTCTAGGTGTCCCTGCTGGAGCAGAGGGGTTGGACTAGATGATCTCTAGAGGTCCCTTCCAACCTCAACCATTCTGTGATTCTGTGGTTACTGAAGAAATATGTCCCCAGCACCCTCACTAAGGTTGAAGAAATCTTGAGAAATGTCGAAGATGCCCTCAAAAATTTTGGCCTATGCTTTCTCTAACTATAACAAGGCTATAAAGAAGAGCTGTTCACTTAATATTGGTACCTTCTTCAGTAATGGATGAGTACTAGTTAAAATCATCCCTTGAGCTTTTCCCAACTAGAAAACCTCCCTTCAGTTGGCCATAATCACAGCTAACGTTATCTCTGTATGATTGTTTTCCTTTAAAAGGTGGTTTTGAAAGGTAACTTCCCTGAAAGGAACTACCAGCTAAACCTGTCTCCTCCCTCCTCATCCTCATCCATATGGTGATCTAGCAGCTATAGCCTCAGCATCTCAACAAATTTCTTTCTATTCTTTTTTTCCTCCGAAACACAGCAAAACTATTTCCAGCATTTCCCTCTGCTCCATCTACTCCCATGATATCAATAATTCACAACTCAAGCAGTTCTCATCTCAGATTTTAAGGAGATTATGAAGAAAAGTGCAAGAAATCTGTTTAAAAAAGGGTATTTCATTCTACTCTCAGTAGAACACTGATGACTACAAAATATAATTCATTTTCCAGTGCAAATATAATAATACAAAATATAATTCATTTTCCAGGCGGATGGTGACTGTGTGATTGCTGATGTTATGATACCCAGCTGGCTCAAAATTGACCCCATTAGAGGTAGCACCTATTAACTTAAGAGTGGCTACAGGAAGCTAAGCAAGATAATACTGCCTCGTTAATAAAAAATCCAGCCATATTATACTGCTGTTTTACACAGGCCTTGTAGAAGCAATTAGTCTCCCAATCATTGTTGACATTTGCAAACCAACAGCATTCCTTCCACTCAGCTCAAATCATTATTCATATTCACCACATAAGAGTTTTCAGCTTCTCTGCAATTAATAAATCACTGTTCCTCAAGCCACGGCACTTCAAAAAAGTTAGAATATGGAAGAACAAGGTCTAAAAATAAAACATACCTATCATAACCAGAAAGATGGTACCCATTCAATTTTTTAACTTAATTAGAATATTTCACAGTGAGTTACACATATGAAGCACATAAAGCACTTTCAGCATAAAAAGGCTAAAATTGTCTTATTTCACAGTTTCTTCTCCCACCCTCCTCAGCCATTTTGCCACTGGCAGATATTTAACTAATATATATAAAAATATCAAAAATAGTCTAAACTAGAGGCTTCCTAAAGCAGAATACATAACTTTTCAAGAAAATTTTGGGAATAATATACTATTGATGAGCTGATTATAGGGTGATAAACTTCACAAAAGCTGAAAAAAATACATTTTGTCTTGTCTTTTTCAGCTTGTAGCCCTGACAAGCCCCAAATAATAACAACTCGGCCACCACAAAAAAAATCAAAACCCTGAAAATACCTTCCACAGTTCTTCACAAAGAGAAGTCAAGAAACTATATAATTTGTAGGTGATTTTAATCAGAAATCAAGCAAATGTCTACTGTACCCTCATGTAATGTTTGCAAATGTAATCAATCAATTGCAGGCATCTTATACCATAATGCACCCTGTGGGTCAGGCTAAAACTAGCCACTGGAGAAAATGTTCCATCCTTGATTAACTGAAACTAATTCTATGATTAAGTGAAATATGTACGTAAATGCAGTCTATCATATATGATGTGCTCAGTTTATAGGAGATTCTATATTAAGAGAGTATAGAATGAGTTGAGACACTCAACTAAGAATTTAAAAAAGCATAAATAGAAAAGAATATACAAAAAGAAAGGAAAAGAGAAATATAAAAGAGAAATATTTAAACCATATTATCACCATGACCGTATATACCTACATATGTATATAAAAATATGTGTGCATGAATTATATATACATATACACACATATACATTTTTTTTAAAAAAAGTGATTGGATAAAGGACAGAGGCTAATTTACTACCTCCAATTCATTGGGTTCAAATAGCTATTCAGAAGAATGAAATTCTTTCTCTTTAAAGTTTCTGATAAAAAAAAAAATCTGAATAAGCCAAACTCAAGAACATTAGCCTGCCACATCAACAAAGACAACAAATACAATAATGTATAATTTAAAATACTATTAAATTGTTAAAGGTAAACAAAAAAAATCCACTCCAACTTTACTTAAAACCAAAAAATCATTAAAAAATAAATACATGACAATAGACAGAAGCAGTAAGATATCCCTAACCTAATCGTATTTTTTTCTATTTATTACTCCGTAGTGCAAGAAAACCCACCCTCTTATGAACAGACAATAGTAGCATGGGAGTTAATCTCTCATCTGTCATCAAATACTATAAAACTTAAAAATAAAGACTTAAAAATACTAGAAAATATGCAATTATATCAATGTGTTTTTTTGGGGCATTTAATGCCTGTATGTTATACTTTGTCTTGCAGTGCCACCCAGTGGAAGGGATTTGGTATTTCATATACACTTATCTACTGCCAGAAGAGTTGACATTAATTCATTTTACAGTGTCAGTTGTCAACATGCAGAGACTCCTTCAATCTGGCATAAGTTATTCTTCTTACAATATTAAGGACCTTATTGTTGCTGATGACTTAAAAAATAAGAAGCTTATTTATTCTAATTCGGTAAAGATGTTAATACTTTAATTTTACTCTTTGGTTTTCACCTGACAGTTTACTGAAAACAAGCATCAGCTAGTAGATACCACAGAATGAAGCAGGCTTGCTGGATCAAGTTACCTACACAGATGTGAAATGTAAACAGGATCTACCACACACACTAGATTAAAGACAAACTGAGCAACATCCAAAAAGTAGCTTGTGAAACACAGCACCAGTACAGTAAAAACACAACTTATAATCTTTTACCACCTGCAAGAACCATTTTAACTGACAACAGCTACAACAAAAGTTACCCCTTCTTTTTTTTTTCTCCTCTTTATCAATAAATTAAAGTAAAATGTGAGATCATGTGCCAGAGATCTAAATACAGATTTACAATCTATGGCTGTAAACATCCAACATAATGATTTCCCTAGCGTTTCACAAGCATTATTTTAAGAAATTTTCCTGTATGCCTTCTTCGGTTTTATAGGCTATTGCAAAAAGAATTTTTTATTAAAGTTTGAAACAGATCAGTGTTTTGGGATCCAAAAGACATTTTTCTTTATTTTCTAGGGCATTACTAATTGGCAACACTTTCATTGAATTTCTAGAGGAATCTTATGCATCTTATGTTCTAAGCAGAACTGATTGAAACTAGGACTATCATTAATATTAACATTTTTTCCCCAAAGAACGCAAACAAAAATATATAATATGATCAAAGGAACCTCTCACTACATGCCTGTTGCAAAGGATGTTTGAGTGAACATCTGGTTCACTTCTCGGATGTTATTAGTTCTAAAAGCTATAGGTGCATCGTGGCATTTTGACAAGGGTTCTGTCAAACAAACAACATGAAGAGGGAAGGAGTCCAGAACTAAATGTATAATAGTGCAGACTCTTCACTGCCTAAATAAATAAATACTAACATAAAAGATGAGAAAAGACAGAAGACACAGTTTAGATGGTCCAGGGCAGAATGGGTAATGAGAAAGAAAGAAATTAAGGAAGGACATGCTAATCACAGGAGCTGAAACAGATCATATAATACAAGGATTCATCATTCTTCATCACTGCCACACATCTAAGAAATCCACTAGAAATGTCCAGCTCCTACTGCAGGTCCAAAGAGAAATTAAATACAATTTTAAAAAGAGATTTCAGTTTCTTTCTATGTCTAACCACATCAAATTCATGGAAACCACAGTTTAAACAGCTAAAGGCAGAGATGAACACTAAGTTTTATACAACGGTAAGAATCCAGTTTACCGGGGTCGCAAGAATATGACAATACAAGTTGTCCTGCAACATCAAATACTACTGTCCATCTACTCAAATACCAGAAGTTTTATTCCACAACAATTGGAATTGGCAGAACTCCAGATATCAGGTTATTTCAGACAAATGCACTCAAAGCAGATTCCTCGGGGTGGGGGGGGGGAAAAATCAAAAAAAAAAAAAAAATCAACAATTATTTAGCATTAATCTTCCATCTTATTAACATTTTTTTTGAGAATGATGTGTGAGCAAAATCACAGATTATTTGCACTGATAGCTTATCCTTCGACCTTCTCTTCAGCTATTACATATTATTCACTACTACTTTAAGGAAGCAAAATCAAGACCTACACCCAAAGCAAAATCTTAATTTAATAAGCCCCAAGTAGTGAATCCTTGGGCACATTTCTGAAGCTTTAAATCTGATCATAAATGTGCTGAAAACTTGTCCTTCTCTATAGTATTCTTTTTTCCAATGCCATAATTTGAAAAAGCCTAAGCCTACCAGCCACAGTTTCTAGGATTCAATCCATATTCCCAGCCAAAATATAAGCAAAGATATAGAATGGCAGCTTAAATCTAACTTTAATGTAAACCACAGTTCACATCCAAGTCCTACCTTACTGCCCGCAACTCACCAGAGCAAACAAACTTTTCTGTCCTTCTATTAAGATAACATACTCAACGCTAACATTAAAAATGCCTAAAAGATTATTCAAAAGAATAGTTTATAACTCTGTAAATATTTACAGCAGGCAAAGGCCAGCCCACAGAAGCTGTCCCACAGGAGAGTTACAGCTTTAAAAGTGAGCTTTACAGTTCACTTTACAGCACACAAAAATTTAACGAGTCAGCAGAACGAGGATGCTGAGAAATTTCAGCTGTGTAAATACCACTTTGTATTAATGCTCCTCTTGAAGAGCCGAGAAGCTTGACCTGGAAGGCTGGTAGCCAGCAAGAAAAGCAGAGCATGGAATGAGCAGCAGTCAGAAGCATTACCTCTGAACCAAAATCATAACAAAAAAAGAAAAAATGGCAAATTTGCTAGAGTTTATAGGACAGATTAGCTTCACGTGTGTTTTGCTAATTCGCCCTGCTCACTTCAAGCCTCTTTCAAAGACCCTCTCCCCCAGGGGACTCAGCTGGCCCCCGGGCTCTCCCTCTCGCGCACGAGCCAACACGGGATCCCTCACGCCGGTCTCCTCCCCCACCCGGAAACTGACCCCGTTTC